ATATATATGTCAGGAATTAAGGAGATGCATTTTAATTTATTTTAGAAATGATATTTAGTTTAGATTTTATATTTAGTTTAGATTTTTAGTTTTATTTTAGTTATTTTTAGTTTTATTTTAGATATTTAGTTTAGATTTTAGAAATGATATTTAGTTTATTTTAGAAATGATTTTTAGGTCTTTAATATTTTTATTTTGGAAATGATTCGATGTTGATGGACCAATGGAAAACTTGACTGCTGTAATTAAATCTTCCCTTTGTGATAGTTGTAACTAATATTTGAACGCAGGTTTATTTTTCAGAAAATGATATCAAGAAATCATTGATTTTTTTGATCTCGTTTCTCTAATATAAGTGTTATTTAAATGTAATTAAAATATTTGTTTGTACTTTTTAATGTATTGTTAAACGGTGTTTTATATTTGAGATATAATAATACCTAATTTTATTTGTATTTTTTTCTTAAGCAGTAATTATTTTTTATTTAATATTTTTTTGAAATAATTGGCTTACTATTATTGCATTGTTAAACAGTTCTCGGCGACTGGATCTTAAGAACCTCTTCAAGTTTCCGGGTTCTTAAATATTGTGTATAACAACATTTTACCAGATAATATTGGGTGCCTCTATAATCTTGTTGTCGTTGTTATAGAAAAAACAGTTCATTTAAAATCTCTGATAAGAAAATTCTTTTTTTTTTCTTTCATTTCTTTCTTAAAGGGATTTTGTGGAAATAAAAAATGCTCAAATTTTCACCTACCCCATCAGGTGGTCGATAAAAATAGCTTAATATAACTTCTCTTGCATGATTGTTTAGAATTTCAATAGGTAAAATTTCTTTTTAATATTTTCATTTACATAGATAAGAACTCCACCACCGCGTTTATTATTTTGACTCTCTAAAGACATTAATTCAAAATGAGGAAGATGAAAATCTCTCGATACAGTTTGTTAGCACAACGTCAGCCTTAGGGATATTCGTAAGTCCTAAATGACTTATGAATATCTCTTGGATTGTAAGAAATACAAATGTAGAAATACGAATATCTATTGGAATGTAGAAATACGAATTTGCAGGTGAACTAAAGTTAACCTGCAAATAAAATGCCCTAATACAAAATGAAGTTTAGCGGAGTTTAAAACGCAAAATATTTCTTACAAAGATCACCTTTGTACAGTGGCGGATTAAGACTTCTTGGGGCCCGGGCTATTTTTGTTTTGGAGGCCTTTTTATAATCCAAAGCCTGAAAAAAAAAAAAAATTCATTTAAAATTTTTGGGGCGCCTAAATTTACGGGGTCCAGGGCTATAGCTCCCCTAGCCCCCCTTGATCCGGCACTGCCTTTGTAAGAACATAACTAACAAATTTAAACTTGTCAATAAAATGTCAGTGAACCCTCGCATAGCCAAAGCAACTCTTAATATAATTACCAAGGTTTTTCAGGGTTTTAAGGAAACTGTTAATAGATAACTGTAAACATCCAAGGAGCTTTGTTTTGTATAGAAAGAAATATTTTTGGAACAAAGCAATAAAGATGTATATATTTAAAATCAAATAATGCTTATTTGATATTAAATATCAGATATAGAAAGTTAAAAAGTTTTTGCAATTTATATCAATGTAACTAATAAATTTCTTTCAAAAAAAGAAAATGAAAGATTTAATGCTCGTATGTAAAATTGGAAGTGGTCGCAGAGATATAATTTAATAATCATTAGTGAATGACATTAATTTAATAACCATTAGTGAACGACATTTAATAATCATTAGTGAACGACATTTAATAATCATTAGTGAATGACATTTATTAATCATTAGTGAATGACATTTAATAATCATTAGTGAATGACATTTAATAATCATTAGTGAATGACATTTAATAATCATTAGTGAATGACATTTAATAATCATTAGTGAATGACATTTAATAATCATTAGTGAACGACATTTAATAATCATTAGTGAACGACATTTAATAATCATTAGTGAATGACATTTAATAATCATTAGTGAACGACATTTAATAATCATTAGTGAACGACATTTAATAATCATTAGTGAATGACATTTAATAATCATTATTGAACGACATTTAATAATCATTAGTGAACGACATTTAATAATCATTAGTGAATGACATTTAATAATCATTAGTGAACGACATTTAATAATCATTAGGGAACGACATTTAATAATCATTAGTGAACGACATTTAATAATCATTAGTGAACGACATTTAATAATCATTAGTGAATGACATTTATTAATCATTAGTGAATGACATTAATTTAATAATTATTAGTGAATGACATTTAATAATCATTAGTGAATGACATTTAATAATCATAAGTGAATGACATCATAATATAATCATTAGTGAATGACATCATAATATAATAATCATTAGTAATGACATCATTAGTGAACTTTGGTAAGTTGTATTAAATCAATAAAAAAGTTTCAAAAAAAATTGCATTTCGGTAACAAGTTCACATATTTAAAAAAACAACGTATATATAGATGGATAGATATAAGATATCTTTATATCTATCTATCTTTATAGATAGATAGATATAAATTAGTAGAAAGATAGATAGCTATCTTTATAGATAGATAGATATAAATTAGTAGAAAATCACTTATCAAATTTTTTTTTATTATGCATAGTGTTATCTATAGAGTCATCAGAAAATCTGATTTTTCTGTACAAAATTATTATTATTTAAATTCATGGAACATCCCATGTAATAATATTTATAGAGTAAAAAAAAATAAGAAAGTTCTCTCCAGCAATTTTCACTTAATATTTGTTTCTTCAAGAATTTGTTCAAAAATTTCTCTTTGCTCGTTTGCAAATTTCAAAGTTTTTTCAATGTCTGGGGGATTTTTACGCTTGAAAAATGCTGTTTTAACCTACTTTTTGATTTATAATAAATTATTAAAATTTAACGTCTGACCACAGCAGAGTTCTTGGATGTTGGAAATATAAGAATATTGAGATAATAAATGAACTAAAGGGTTATTCAGTTGTGAAAAACCATTTTCTGCAGTTGATTTACTATTATAAGACGAATGAACAATTTTAGTTCATTTTGTTTGATGCAGTTTGAAATATCCTTGATTTTAAATAGAGAATTTGTATAATTCTTCTGTATTTTGAAACATTCAAAAGTGATTTCAGCGCACTTCTAATCCTATCTAACTTTTCCATTAATGTGTCACTATTCTCACATAGCTTCATACCGTAACTCAAAGTAGGGATTGCCAACAATTTATATATATAGAAAATCATACACGGGTTGACAAACCGGATTCAACACTGAATAAAAGTTTGTACAACGTTGGTACAACGTTTTACAAACGTTGAAGTTTATTCTAAAAATTTATTTCAATACCAGAAATAGTTATTACAGATACAAAACATTTGTACTGCTTTGTATCTGTGCTTTACCCGAAATCAAGAACTCAGTCTTTTCGGCATTCAATTAAATTAAATTAAAAAAACCATTTTGAACACTGCACGCTTTCATACGCTTATTGAGACCAAAAAGAGTAGAGATTTAAAGTATAATATCATCCACATATGCTATCACACCAGTAAAGTTACCTTAAACAGATGTGCCAATAAAGCCTTGACTTTTAATAGTTTTGAGAAAGCTATCAGTGTAGATGTTATAAAGATAAGATGAAAGAATCGAACCTTGTCTTTGACTTTGCTTTGGTTGAAAAAAATTTAATAAGCAACTTTGATGCAAAACTGTCGATATATCAGATATCAGAAGTTTTCTCGTTTAAGGAGCATAAGTACACAGGTGAATCGTTGCTGTTGTAATGTTTAATTGTATCGCTTATTAGAAATTCAGTATGTAGCGTTGAACTATTAAATATATTAAATGTGTAATTAATATAATAATAACTTTCTGTGTAAAATTATTTAATGAGATTTTCTACTAATTTGTTATTGCTCTGTATATATATATATATATATATATATATATATATAATATATATATATATATATATATATATATATATATATATATATATATATATATATATATGTTTGGCTTTAACTGCCAAACGTACTGTTCTCATATAAATTTATATTCATCGAAAAGTTCGAAATTGTATACAATAATCTCTTAGCCTTCAAATACTACGACTTAATAAAATTTGTGACCCTCTCAACTGCATTCATCCTCCCTTATATATATATATATATATATATATATATATATATATATATATATATATATATATATATATATATATATATATATATATATATATATATATATATATATATATATATATATATATATATATATATATATATATATATATATATATATTAGAGTTAACTATATTAAATACTAAAAAATAGAGAGGTATATAAAAATATAAAACGCAATAAGTTTGCTGTTTGAAAAAATTTGAACATAATAAAACTTTTAAATTAAAAAAATTTTGTTTGTTAAATTACAGAACTGTGGTTTGTTAAATTACAGAAAAGCAACAACATTAAAGTCGTTAAACCTCGTTTAACGACTTTTAGCAACGCACTAAACCTTGTTAACCTCGTTTAACCACTTCTGTCAGGGTTAGGGTTAAATAAAATTATGTTGAAGATTTAGGCGTTGCAACTTTTAAACTTTCAATATAACCTTATCCAGATGCTCATCTAAAATTTTGAAAACATTTGGCGTTTCATTGAATTAAGTTAACTGATCTGTTTAGAGTTATTATTTCGACATCAGAGACTTATTTTTTTAGAATAGAAATGTGGGGGAGATAGAACAAATGTCCGTTACACAACAAAAGATTACGAAGTTAAAAACAAAAGCAGCTTGTGTGAAAATGATTTTAATGTCTCAATCAAAAAAAGAAATAAATAAATAGTAAAACAACCATTGTTTTTATTTTATTGTTTTTTCATAAATTATAAATGGAATTAAATTATAGACAAAATGGTAACAAAAGAAAATGTGTTCAATATTAGCTTCTTTTTTCTTTGGTGTTCGGAATCGTAAGCTAGACGACATAGCAATAAAAAATCTTAAATGTGTGATCAAACAATTAGCGAAAAAATTCATCATTCTTATTCAAAAGATAAAGATTCGCTTTTTGATGTTAAAAAAAATGATATATTTGGATCATTAATTGACGTGGGTACTGAGATTTACGTAAAGGTATTTAAATCAAAATATTTGCTTGTAATTTTAAATCAAAATATTTGCTTGTAATTTTAAATCAAAATATTTCAAATTTGCCTTTAATTTAAGGTAAAGTTTTTGTTTTTACAATAACAGGTTAATAAAGTTCCGGGTGTCAGCATGGGATTGACTATTTTAAATCAGCAACATATTACTCCAAACTGGCCTATAATTTTAAACATTGACGAAAAATCACCGGCGTCGTTAGCTCAACCTTGTTTGAATATAGGTGATCGGATTAAAGAAATAGACGGAATACCGACATGTCAACTTAATCATTCTGAAGTTATAGCTCTTTTTTATAAGGCGTCTGATGAAATTACAATGACAGTTTGTCGAGTAATAAAAACAAATGATAAATCATTTTATTGGTATAGGTATCCTTTTTTGTGTGTAAGTACACGTTATGAAAACGTAGTATTAAAAAACCCACGTTATTGCCAAGGAGTATTAAATGATGGAAATTCATCAGCTTTGGATTTAACCACGTTTAAGCCATACAAAGAAAACAACAAAACTAGTAAAACGAGTCCCCAGTCTCCTCGTCGATCAACATCTATGTATTCCATATACTGCTCAAATCAATTTGAAGAATCAAAAAAGCATACAACTAATGGAATGGAAAAGAGTTTACCTAAACCTCTTTTTCAAAACCGTGTACGTTTTTGTAATTGGATTAATTTTCCCGCACAAAAAGGAAAACCAGTTAATAAAACCGGTTTCTTAGCAGATAATAAATCTAAAAGTTCCGACTTGATGCACACAATATCTGGTAATTGTATTCAGGAAAATGTATATTACTTTGGATCTAAAACGTTTAAGAGATCAGTATCTTCTGATGAAGTTTTGGAAGATAGTAGACTCCACTATATATATTGAATAAATTAGATTATTTGTGAAACAGACATCACAGATCAGATCAAGAGATCAGATCAACACATCAAATCAACAGATCAGATCAACTGATCATTGTCATCACAGATCAACAGACATCACATATCATTGAAATTACAGATTAACAGATATTACAGATAACCACATCAAAGATCAACAGGAACTAATTAGATTTTTTACTTCAGATTTAAAAATAGTTTCAATTAATTTATTTATTTTTTAATATAAAAGCTTTAGTGTTTAGTTTATTTTATTTTAAAGATTATAATTCTGTGTATTTATAAAAAGTATATTGTGTTAAGATGTATTTTAAAACATCAAAAGTAAATTGTAAAGTGAGCTTACTTGATGCGTGATTAAAAAATGGAACAAAAGGGTGGGAGAAGAGGCGATTCTACAAACAAAATAAGGGGGAGGGGTGAATCTTTAAAAGCACAGTCTGGTTCTTAATATTAAAAAAAAAGGTCTGAAATTAAATTAATTTGACTGATTTGTGTCAAATATCTAACTAGTCAACTTTGTTACTAAAAAAACCGACTAAATCTTCAAAATCGCCTTCTTTGGGGAAAGATGTACGTGTGAGGGGGGGGGGCAATTGTTTCAAGTATTTCTCTAAACAATTTCATATTTTATCAGAAAGAAATTTATATAGTTTTTGATACTTTATGTGTACTTAGTGGGTTTATTAGAATAAAGTACAGAAATATTCCTGTAAAAATCAACTGATGTATGCACACTCGACTAGGAATATCCCTGAAAACCAGTCATTATATGTACACTTGTCCTAAAAATAATTTTACAATAGTTTTTTAAAAATTATTTAATTTTCATGGCAGCTACACGTTGCGGTGCCAGCAGACAACGATATTCTTTAATTGGTAAATTGCAGCAACAAATTGCAGCAACAAATTGCAGCAACAAATTGCAGCAACAAATTGCAGCAACAAATTGCAGCAACAAATTGCAGCAACAAATTGCAGCAACAAATTGCAGCAACAAATTGCAGCAACAAATTGCAGCAACAAATTGCAGCAACAAATTGCAGCAACAAATTGCAGCAACAAATTGCAACAACAAATTGCAGCCGGTGGTTTTTTAAATGATGATCGTAACGTTTTAAATTGAATCAAAACACGCTACAATACTCTTAGAATTTGTATCTACTTTATACTTAAATACCTCCACACTTTTATGAACTACACATTTTTTCATAATTCTATTTTCTTCAATTTTTACAAACGGATCAAAATATCAAAACTGAATATTTTATTGACACATTTCAAGAAATCACGATCTTCTTTATTGCACCAAAGTGAAGCTTTTGTTCTCCTGTTTATTCTCCTAGAAGATTTTATTCTGCTAGAAGATTTTATTCTTCTGTTTAAACTATATATTAACTCTAAAATGACTATATATTAACTCTAAACTATCTCTGTTTTTCTTGTACTGTGGCCTTTCTATTTAAGAAATTGACAACAAGTTATTGTACTGTGTCCTTTCTATTTAAGAAACTGACAACAAGTTATTGTACTGTGTACTTTCTATTTAAAAAACTGATAACAAGTTATTTAAAAACTATTTTACTTAAGAGAAAGCTAAAACAAACTTTGAAAGTAAACTTTTCTTAAGCTAAAATAAACTTTGAGTAGAAAGCATACAAAAAAACTTATTTAATTTTGTAATTATAATATTTTAATATTCTTTAAAAACCAAAAAAAAATCAACAATATTTCAAAAAACATCTAAAAATAACTCTTAAATTTAATATAAAGTGCTACAGATACAAAAACATGGCAACAATTTTTGCTAAACCTCTTCTAATTATGCTTGGTATGATTTTAACAGAAAATATTTTATGCAACCTTTGCAGGGCTTTGTCTTAGACCATATACAAAACTTTATTGCCCACCCAATCCATGTTGTTTTTTTTAGGTGCCCCCAGAAGCCCTTACGGTCTTATCACAGATCACTGAGGATATATTGTTTTTTAAAAAAAGAGGATAAAATTAAAAAGAATTAAAATTATTTGTTAATTTTCTTCAACCAGTGCGTTAAAAACTTTTAAAGGGTATTCCTGTCCGGAGATTTGATTTCTTGCAAAATTATTTTTATGAATATTAGCACAATAATAGCTGCAATTTACTTTTAATCAAAAATTATTTTTTTTCAAAAAACTTGGGGTTCAACAAATGTTCCATCTCTACTGACACACAAAACATGTTTTTCATCTCCACTGACACACAAAACAAGTTTTTCATCTACACTGACACACAAAATATAAATAAATTTCCATCTCCATAGACACAAAAAACATAACTAAATTTTTCATAACAAATTAAGACAATTGAAAAGCCACAAAAAGTATTTATAATTCTTCTTACAATCTCGTTGAGCTGTATTCAACAACCATAGTTCTTAACTTGCAGAGGAAGCTTATGATATATATAAACCTTTCCCAATTATTGGTAAGTTTATTAAAACCAAATCCCAGCAAAATCATTGGATAACATCGGAAATAATAAAGTCACCAAAAAATCAAACAAAGCTTATTACGGACTTTCATAAGGGGTGGTTTAGGCATATGAGATTTCGACACCATCTTTATAGGAGATAAATGCACATAAACAAAACCAATCTCAGTTGTTAAGAGAATGTTTTTTTAATTAAGAAGATACAATAGATAGTTTTAAATAAACAACAACTTTATAAAATGATTTTTAGACCATTGCTCATCTACAAATTGCACTTTACACGAGTTGCGGATCAGAATATATAAATTTAAACAGTGTCCTTTTCGTGCATAAAAACCAAAATAAAAGGCATAATGACGTTTTGTAGTCAAAGTTTTCTTGGATTCTACAAGCATCCCGCCTTCAACTATCCCTTTAATCAAAGAAGACTCAATGTATCATTCGGCGCTACTGCAGTTTCTCCCCCCCCCCCTCTTTTTTATTTCTGATTATGATAGAGAATTTTATGCTGATTAAGAATCGTATAAAAACATAGGTCTGAAAATTAACAGAAAGTGTTCTAATTTGATCTTGAAGTTTAAAAAATTATACACATAAACGCTAATATTCGCCATTTTTTTTATTCTCGGTTATATTAAAATTCTTTTCAAAGATGATTTTAAAAAAGCCTGGTTTCTATCAACAAATTAATGCAAAACTGTTAAAAAATGCTCAGCGCATCATTTTCTGATTTATCCCTTGCCCAAACACAAACTCTGTTCCAAATCATGTACGTTTAATCGCGCCAATCCCTATTTGTCAGTCGATGTATGTGCATTTAGTAGTGCCAATCCCTATTTGTCAGTCGACGTATGTACATTCAATTGCCCAATCCCTATTTTTCAGTCGATGAGTGTATATTATTATACTTTGATTATAAGAGAAAGCAGTTTAGGACAGCCAGAAAAACTGTGATTTTTAAAACGGATTTTAGTTCACCTGATACTCATGTTGCTTGTTAATTAAAAAAATCTTATGGAGAAAAATTCTTCCTGCTGTAGTTTTATTTAAAAATAAGATTCCACCGATATTTTATTTTGAATTGCTGGTTTCAATAATGTTATTTTTGAATTATTGGTTTTAAAAAATGTTGATATGTCCTTTTATTGTTATCACTTATAAAAAACTTTCATAAAACAAAGGAAAATATATCATGAGTTCAAAAGTGATATTTTCAAAGTAAAAGACTTATTTTCTATGACCCTGTCTAACCAAATCAAACATATATCAGTACGCCTTGCTTTTAAAAAAATGAACACAAAACAGTTATTGTCATAAACCTAGAAAATTAGAAATTCCAGAGAGATTTTATACAAATAAAATATCAAGTCAAAAATAAAGGAAACAAACTTTTGAATTGCATTGTCACAATGTTTTATCTTCACGTGTAAAATCTACATCACTATCTCTACTATCCCTTTATAAAAATGACTTCTTTTCAATGCTTTTTCTTTATAAAAATGCGTTGTTATTTTATTAAAGAAAACTAAACTTATAATACTAACTTCTTCAAATCACAAAAAGTTTGTGAGAAGTAATAATATTTTCATAACGGAAAAAAAAATTATACTGCTACAAAATCTACTAAAAACATTATTTTACTAAAATTGTTATATAAATAATAACAAGAAATGTATTCAAGCAAAGAAAACAATTTTCTATTCTTTCAACTTATTTACAATGATATTCAGCAACATATACAAATAAATTTAACTGAAATAAATATTACCATTGAGAAAATATACATAACTGATCCTATTAAATATATAGATTATAATAAAACTTAGAAAAATTCAGACTCATTGCTAAACAAAGTAACTTGAGTTGAAATTCTTGTTGTGCGTATTCTGGAAAAAATTCAAAAGCTTAATGTACCACACTAGTTTTCACTATCTGGTATTAAATAGTATAGATATGTAAGTATTGCTGAAAAAATACAACTTCCATGTGCTGAAATAATACTTATTCAGTTTGTGTATTATTATAGTGAGGAAACTCAAGAGTGCTGAAATTAAAATTTGAAGTTTGAAATTGTGATGAACTTTTTGAAATTGTGCAGTCTATAGTCATTTAAGTTAAATGATGTCCATTCTTGACAAATATTTTGTGAGTTCTTTTTTGAAAAATAGGATAATCTGGTTGAAGTACAACAAACAATGGCACAAAATACTATCCATGCAACAAATAATATTAATTGTGCATTTGGAAACTGGTAAAACCATAACAACCAATGCATGAATACAAGTTATTAAAAATAATTTAGTTATTTTATCTATAGCTCAATTACCAGTGCCTTTACAATCTTAATGCGCAATAGTAAATATGGATTAGTAATATCAAGTAAAACATTGCAGTTGAAAAAAGGGTATTTTCATTATAATGGATTACTTTTGATTAATGCATTTGGTTTTAACAACTTTGTTGATAAAGATTTACTTTTCATTTTTAATAATAATTGATTCTTAAATTTTGGGAGAACTTTTACCTTTATAGACTCTAACTTTATTTTTTTAGTACACTCTAAGAAAAAATCCGTTATATACAACGAATTGTATCTGTCGCTATTGCACTAACGGGAAATCCGTTAAGTTAACGAATTAAAATTTTAACGTATTGGACTCCGTTAGGAATAGTCCGTTGAATTTACGGATTTATTTCGTTAGTGCAACGAATAATTCGTTAAAATTAAGGAGTTATTACACTAGGCAGCAAATTTTCCGCGGTTGTTATTCCTATGAAATAAATGTGTCAATAAGTTATTTTAGTGATTATTTCGTTAAAATCACTAAAATCTAAAATTAGAGAGGCCAGAATTGTGACTTCATAACCAAATAATCCTTATATTTGTTAATGTTTGCATTTTTATTTAATTACATTATTTTATTTCGATGTTCTACATTAAAACGTTTTAACCAAAAATTGAAAACTAATCAAATATTTATAATATTTAATCCAATATACTTTAAATTACAATAAAAATAGTTAAAAAAATATTTTTAATACACTATTCTCAAGCTAGTACATTTATATAAAACACACACATATATATAATAGATGTTTAAAATAAACCAATGCCAAGATATTAGTTTTTGGTCGCTAGTTTTGGTTTGGTTGGTTTAAATAGGTTTTGGTTTTTGAATACTGTTGTTACTCGTACACAGGTTCGCACTTTAAATCGGACACCATGCTGTCAACTCATTAAAGATTAATATAAAATAAAATAAGGAAAATATGGAAACTTAATAACATACCTAGTATAAAACCAAAATAAAATGTTACTAATAACACTATAGAAAATGTTTTTGGTAATTCATTATATATAAATTTCTATTCTAAATTTTGTTATTTTAATTATCTCTGATATCGTTTTCTAAAGATAAAGTTAAATGGAACAAGTAAGTTATATCTTTATTAAAATGTAAATTAAAAAAAGAGTATAAGATTACCTTGACATTATCTGATAACTGAAAGACTCTATACATTTCACATACATCAATACCTATCAGGAGCAAAAAATAAGGTCTCTAAAAACCTTTTAAAAACTATGATAAATCAAAACAAGATTAAATATGCAGACCAAAAAAAACGCAAGCAACTATATAAAAAAATTAATTTTACAACTTATTTAAACTTACAGTCTCATACCACTTATCACATGTTTAAAATAGCTAATTCTAAAATAATAGTGAATATAGAATATAGTAGAATAATAGTTAAAAAAGTGTGATATAAACTTAGTCTTAACTAAACTAAATAAATATGCATGCCAAAAGAAATGCAAGTTAAAATACAATTTTTTTAAATTTACTCATTCAAACTTACAGTGGGATATCACAAGCCACGTGTCTAAAACAGCAAATTCTAAAATAATATAAACACGCCAGATATTAACTTATTATTATTATTATTATTATTATTATTGTTATTATTATTATTATTATTATTATTATTATTATTATTATTAATAGTTGAAACTCAACTAAATAAAAACTGCATGTCAACAGAAATGCAAGTTACAATATAAATTTTACAACCAATTTAAACTTACAGTATGACAGCTTATACCAAGTGTCTAAAATAGCAAATTCTGAAATAATATAAACAAGCCATACACAAACTTAGTTGTAATCTAATTATATAAACATGAACGTCAAAAGAAATGCAAGTTAAAATATATTTTTTTTAAAATTTACTAATTCAAACTTACAGTGGGATACCACATGCCACGTGTCTAAAACAGTAAATTTTAAAATAATACAAACACATCAAATATAAACTTAGATTAAACTCAACTAAATAAATATGCAAGTTACAATATAAAATCTACAATCAATTTAAACCTACAATGTGACACTAAATGCCGTGCCTCTGAAGCAGCAAATTCTAAGATAGTATAAATAACTCATATATAACCTTAGTTGAAACTCAATTAAATAAACATGTTAAAAGAAATAGAAGTTCCAATATAAATTTTTTAATTTTACAACTTGTTTTAACTTACAGTGGGATGCAAATGCCATGTGTCTAAAACAAAAAATTCTAAAATAATATAAACACACCAGTATAAACTTAGTTTATGATATTAGATGTAACATGTTTAATTTGGAAATTAATAAAAATTGCAATTTATAAAAGCATATTAACTAGCCATGTAAACTTAGCTGTAACTAACCTAAATAAATATACCTAACAAATATGTTAACATTTTTAATTTTACAACTGATTTAAACTAATATGGTATGTTACTACATGTCATATGTCTAAAATATAAAGTTAAAAAAGACTATAAATAATCCATTTAGTCTATATTATAGAAATAATTGTTCAACTAACCCTTTACTACTAGTAAAGGATTAGTTGAACTTTTATTTCTATAATAATATTATAGAAATAAAAGTTCATATATATAGCCTATATTATTAATATAGACTATATCGTTCATATATAAAAGTTCATATATATAGTCTATATTATTAATATAGACTATATCGATTGCATATATTCTTGCATAATTTTCTAGATTTAGACATGTAGTAACTTACCATATATGATATGTATTAACTTACCATATATGTTATTATATATTATTTAGTAATACTAACGGCTTTTAATTTAAAAAAAAATAAACCTTATTGTTAAATTTTTTATATAAAGCTTTATATAGAAAATTTAAAATAATCTAAATAACCTTCGAAATTACAAATAACAGAGCGTAATTTAAATTTTATTTATCCATTCGCTTTGTCTACTAAATGTAAAGCTTTTTAAAAAATGGCATATTACACTTAGTGCAACCAACTTTTATTTACGATGTAAATGTAAATGTGAGAAAAGCGCATTCAAAACTTTATCATTTTCAAAATAAAAAGCGATAATATTCTGAAAATTTTTTTTTGACCGATTAGAATATTTAATCCGTTGAATTAACGAAATTTCAAAGAATCCGTAAATAGTTAATTTTACTCCGTTAATTTTCTGGTTTTACGTAACGAGTTAATCCGTTAATTTAACGAAAAAGCGCAATCCGTTACTTTTTTAACGGACTGTTTTTAGAGTGTATCTTTCTGCATTACCTTCTTCTAGTCTTTTTTTAATGGTTTATTTTTTTACAATGAAAAAAATAATAAAACTAAATTATTTTGTCATTATTTTATCTATTATATTAAGATGAGAAATTTTGAAATTATTCTTTAAGAAACCTTTGACATGATAGGAAATAGAGGAGAAGTTTCTTGAAGATTCGGGTTTGTAATGTTTTATCTTTATATTTATTATAAAGAGAATGCGACTATGATTTTTATTTAATATTTATTTCAATATTTTCATATTAAATAATCACAACTCGTTTAAATATAAAACTCTGTATAGTTTCGCGTCGAAACTTCAACTGTAATTTTATTAAGCGCACTGGCTTTTAAGCGAGAATTCCTCGTGCGGAGTTCTCTCAAGGGAATACTTTCGTTATAAGTTTTTGTGCAATTCGCAAAAGGGAATAGACCTCCTCACAGTTCCGATAATTTAGTGCGCGCATTTAACAGTACGTCAATGTTCCTTGTGCGCAGAATCGCATGAAAGAAAGTAAATACACAAATATATAATGAAAGCATTCTTGAAAGAAACAGTTGTTTACATGAGATTTCTATACTTTTATTCATAATAAAAGTATCGATTTTGTATTATTTAACTTTATTTTATTTATTTTAAGGCTAAATTTATATTATTTATATATTTATACTTTTTATATGTTTGTTTTATAGGATATATATGAAAGAAATAAAAGCTCTAAAGAATACTCTAAAGAATACTCTTTATCTTTTGTATTTCACACATTTCGAGTGTCAAATGTGCATTGATAGTTGTGTTTGTGTGTGTTTGTGTGTATATATATAATATTTATATATATATAAACATAATATATATACATATATATGTGTGTGTATATACATATATGTGTGAGTGTGTATATATATATATATATATATATATATATATATATATATATATATATATATATATATATATATATATATATATTTTTTTAATGTAGACATCATGTATAAGAGTGTATCATGTGTAAGTTATTATTTTATAAACATCAATAAATACGATTTTCTCTCGATACTAAATTTATTTTTTATTTTTTAAAAGAAATTTTCGCTGGATTGTTGTGACCAGCGTCTTCAGCTTAAAAGATTTTGTTTGTTTTTGTTTATATGTTCTTTTTAAACGGCAATTTTATTATATGTCAATGGAATGGTTTCGTCTTTTTCTGACGTAAGTGCATTAGAAATGGTGTCCAGAATTTTGTTGACACATATTGTCCCTAATCTAAATTGATACCACTTTGTTGAGGGGCACATTGGTGGTACTGTATTTCAAGCGCCTCACGAACTTTCCTATCAAACTTTTTGTTGACTTTTAGAGTTCTGCAACTGTCCCAGTTAATTTGTTGTGCACAATGTTTCATGTGTGTGGTTAATTTATATGAGTATTTACTTTTTTTCATGCGATTCACACACATGAAACATTGTGCACAACAAATTAACTGGGACAGTTGCAGAACTCTAAAAGTCAATAACAAAAAGTTTGATAGGAAAGTTCGTGAAGTGCTTGAAATACAGTACCACCAATGTGCCCCTCAACAAAGTGGTATCAATTTAGATGAGGGACAATATGTGTCAACAAAATTCTGGACACCATTTCTAATGCACTTACGTCAGAAAAAGGCGAAACCATTCCATTGACATATAATAAAATTGCCGTTTAAAAATAACATATAAACAAAAACAAACAAAATCTTTTAAGCTGAAGACGCTGGTCACAACAATCCAGCGAAAATTTCTTTTAAAAAATAAAAAATAAATTTATTATCGAGAGAAAATCGTATTTATTAATGTTTATAAAATAATGTATATATATATATATATATATATATATATATATATATATATATATATATATATATATATATATATATATATATATATATATATATATATATATTACTGTTTAACAATCTTCTTTCCCGAAAGCTCATTTTTATTAATCTATATTAAATACTTATACACTCAACGTACAAATTTGTTTTTTCCTTGATTACAAATATTATATAACAAAAACATATAAACAGTATAGATTTTAAACTTAAAATGGGTAAAATAAACTTTTATTAAACTAAATCAATGTCTTTTTTAAAAAAAATAAAAAAAATCTTATGTAAACAACTGTTTCTTTCAAGGTTACTATCTTAATTTATATGAGTATTTACTTTTTTTCATGCGATTCTGCGCATATACAGTCGACTCTCGATATCTCGAACACTAAGGGGACCGGAAAAAAAGTTCGAGATATCGAGAGTTCGAGATATCAAGAAAAGGGTTGAAAATAAATAAAATTGCCCGACTTTCATTAAAACAAGTTATTTTTCTGACAAAATCATTAACAACAAAAACTACAACTTTTGGAAAAAATCTGTTATCTGATATTGCTTTAAATTATCCATTTTTTCCATTTCATTAAATCCTCAAGTTTTAGTGCTAGGGATTGTATTTCATTTCCGTATTTTGAGCTGAATAGCGAAGCATTTTGAATCGTTTCAAAAGCAATTTCTAATTAAATATCAGATGGGCGTGGCGGGGCTTCGACGTCAATAGCTTCGTCAACGCTATCTTCAAATCCATAATCGTCGTTTCAAAATTAGGGTCTAAAATCTGAGCAATGATTTCAGCATCAGTAGCAAATGAACCGGTGGTTACTAGATCGCAATCTAAGCCAATGTAAGATTCCGCTGAGAGATCTTTTTGAACGGCACGAGGCTCTAACTCTCGCAAACGGTTTAGTTCCTCTGTCAAAAATTTAAAAGGATGCTCATCATCAGCTTCTTCAATACTCTTGTTTGTTTTGCTGATACCAGCTTTTTTAAAGCAGTTGATGACAGTCTCCTTCGACAAAGCATTCCACGAAGAAACAAGATCTTTCATTGCTTGAAGTATAGAAATTTTTTGGCTTGGGTTCGTTTTTTTCGACAGCCTTGATACACAAACGCATAATTTTGTGACGACAATGAGCTTTAAGACTTCGAATTACGTCTTGATCCATGGGCTGAAAGACAGATGTGGTGTTAGGGGGGGGGGGGAATATTAGGTTGCTTAGCCCTTCAATGTGTGGGTGGGCAGAACAGTTATCCACTAGGAGTGCTACTTTCCTGTCTTGAGCACGAAAAAATGAGTCAAGTTTCATTACCCATTTTGTAAAAAGTCTCCGGTCATCCAACTTTTTAGCTGATTTTTATATGTGCAAGGAAGTTGTTTAATGTGCTTAAAACACCGTGGGTTTTTAGATTTTCCAATAACAAACATAGGTAATTTTTCTCCCGTTGCACTCCCTGCTGCTATGCCTGTTAGTCTGACTTTACTATTTTTTCCCAAAAACATTTTTCTCGTGATAAATGGTATGTTTTGTTTGGTAGGCACTGGTAAAATAGTTTGAATTACAAACTTGAAAACATTGAAAATGTTTTCAAGTTTGTAATTCAAAAGCAATGTTGGAAGTGTAGTCTCATTCCACGAAGCAGTCATATTATTCGTCACGGCGGCACTTTCGCCTGAGATTATTTTAAAGCTGATGCTGTTCCTAAAAATAGGAACAGAATAATTGAATTTTAATTACACGTCTAAAAAGCTAAATAAATTAAATATAAACAGATACATGTTGTTTGTTTATATTAAAATTGAACAAGATTTGACAAAATTTAACTGACCTTTCTTTCCAATTATGAAACCAACAATCAGATGCTTTAAAATCCAACTCTCCTAATGCTTCTGCGACTTTTAGTGCCTTTTCTTTTAGTATGGTACCATCAATTGGTACTTGCTGACTTCTTTTTGCAACGAACCACGTGTATATGGCCTTGTCTACATTTTTGAAATTACCACTACGAAGTTTCTTCCGTTTAGATTTTATGCCATTTTTTTCCAGTGAGGTTAATAACTTGGTTTTATTTTTAATCCAGGTTGATAATGTGTTCTTTGGGACTCCATACTTTTTGGCAACCTCTTTGTTAGACACCCCTGTCTCTAGGTCTTTTAATGCCTTGTATTTTTCTATTATAGATTTGTTCGTGAGTTTTCGTTTAACGAGCGGCATGTTGTTGCGTTTGACAAAAAGAATAACTTAATATATTAAAGGAAAACTTTTCAGAAATTCGATTCTTAAAAAAAATCGAATTTAAAAACGAATTAAAAATTTTGTTTTTTCGAAAATTGGAATTTAAAAATAATTAAATTTTATTAAAACATTTTTGAAAAAAAAAATGTTGAAAAATTCGAGATAACGAGAGAAAATTGCCCTGAGGACCGAAAATATTG